AGGTGGACGCATCGGAAGGGCCCCGGGTGTGCGGCGAGGACGCTGGACACGGCGGAGGTGGCGAGAAAGAGGCTGGAGTCGACGAGGACGAGCGGGCCGGAGCGCCAGACCCCGCGCCAGTGGCGGGAGAGCGCGGCGGTACGGGCGGCGTCCTTTGCCGGGAGGCGGGAGACGATGTTGTGAAGAAGCGCGTCGGGGAGGCTGCTGACGCGGTCGACGTCGTCGTGGGGGGGAAGGGCGAAGAGGCAAGGGGCGGCGGAGACGGGCGGGTCTGGGAGGGCGTAGTGGGTAGGCAGGTAGGCGCGGTGGAATAGTTGTTGCATGTCGTCCTTGCTGCGGAGGAACTCGACCGCTATCTTGAGCAGACGGGCGTAAAGCGGACACCGGGACCGGTTGTGCTCCATGGCGCTGCCGCCGCCGCCGAAAGCCGGGGGTGGGGACGAGGGCTTTGAGCGGCGCGTGCTGTCTCTGTGTGTGGACTGGAGCAGGAACGGCCCGGGGAAATAAGGGCCCGGTTTCGTTCATAAGTGCTAGGTCTTTTTTAATCCCAATTTATAAGTCCCAAGTTCCTAAAAAATACCTATCTATTTAGTTTCTGGGACTTATAAATCCCTATAAGACCATATTACAACTATAAGTCCCTATAAGTCCCTCCTTAAGAGTCTTATTTCATAAGTCCCAAATGACCACTTTAAGTCCCTATAAGTCCCTCCTATTTGGTTTAGATGGGACTTATAGGAACTTTTTTAAGTCCCTAAACCAAAAAGTCCCTGGAAAACAAACACCCTCTAAATGCCCCTCAGCTTTTTCAACTTTTTCTTTTGAGAAATTCCACATTGCAAAAAACAAATTTCAACAAGGGTGGATTTTATTAATTAAAAAACAAAGCATCAAGAGGATACAAACATAATGTGTACAAAGCTGGCCTCAGCATAAGAGCATCTCCAGCAAGCGCGTTATCTTAGCCGTGTGCTGAAAACCCGCTTTATTGCGCGCGGGGCCGAAACGGGCGCTCCAGCAGCCATGCAATAATCGCGCGCGCGGTAAACTTGGTTCAGCGCGCGGAGGAAAATGACATCGCTCGCGGTGTATTTGCTGCGCCCGCTCCCGCGCGCTGGACATGGCAATCGGGCGCGCGACTCTCACCAACCACCAGATCCGAAACCTCCAAGCGCTGGCGTCGCTGCCCGCACCTTCCCCATTCATTCCGGCGACCCGTCGGCGCTTCCCCCACATATGCCCGTGCACCGCCGCTGCTTCCTCCACCTTCTCTCGTCGCTGCCGCCCCTCGAGTGCATTGTTCCTCCAACGAACAGCGGCCGGCGGCCTCTTGTAGCTCGACGCCCACAAGGTGTTTGACAAAACGCTTGCAAGGTATGTATTGCTTCAACTTTCTATTTGTAAATGAATTTGGTGCATGTTGTTTGTAGTTTTTAACTAGTTTAAATTCAATATTGTAGATGAGTTCGTTCTACGATTCTTTCGACGAAGAATTTGATATTCAAAAGGAGGACATCGCAATGATCCTAGCTATGCAAGTCAATAAAAAGCCGAAGCATGGTGGTTCGATTGTCGGTGGTAAAAAATTATGGAGGGATAAGATCGATGCCCGCAACAGATTGATGATGAACTATTTTGCGAAGAATGTTGCATACCCTGAGTCTTACTTTCTGCGTCGTTTTAGGATGAGCATCGAGTTGTTCAAACGCATTGCGGAGAAACTGGCGAGCCATGATCGGATTTTTCAGCAAAGGAGGAATGTCGTCGGAGAACTCGAGCATAACACCTTTCAAAAAGTGACCGCCGCTTTACGTATGTCGACATACAATATTCGCGTGGATCTCGTTGATGACCACTTGGCCATGGGTGAGAGTCAAGCCATCATGCGTGTCAAGCGCTTCACAGTCGGAATTGTGCAAGTATTTGGTCCGAAATATTTGAGAGCTCCTAATGCTGAAGACACCACAAGGCTTTTGGAGATGAACAAAGATCGTGCGCTTCCAGATATGCTTGGCTCAATAGATTGCATGCATTGGAGTTGGAAGAACTGTCCTAAGGTATGGCATGGACAATTCCACGGCCAGAAAAAGGGTTCCACTATAATCCTTGAAGTAGTGGCCGATCAGGAGACTCGGATTTGGCATGCTTTTTTGGGAATGCCTGGTGTTTGAATGACATCAATGTTCTTAATCGATCACCACTCATGAATAAGATTGCAAATGGTGAAACTACACCGGTGGACTTTGTAGCAAATGGTCATACATACAACTATGGCTACTATCTTACAGATGGTATCTACCCAAGGTGGCAAACATTTATGAAGCCGTTGACGGCACCGCAAGGTAATAAATTTTTTGATTTCCACAATGCTCATGCGTCGGCTAGGAAAGATGTGGAGAGAGTTTTGGGGATTTTGCAAACCCAACCAGCTAGATTTTGAGATCAAAAGATCCTTTGGTATATCATGAACACTTGTGTGATCATGCATAACATGATCATCGAGAATGAGCGTGGGCAAGATTTAGACTATTCTCAATATGAGTTGTTGGGACGTCTCGTGCGAGTGCGGAGGAGGGCTACGAGGTTGGCCCAATTTATTGCCTCCTATCATGCCATTCGACGTGCCGAAACGCACGATAATCTTTCAAAAGGACCTAATCGAGGAGTGGTGGGCATGGAATGGGCGACAAAATTAGTTTGATGTTGTATTGTTGAACTATTTGTTGTATTGGAAGATAAACTATTTGTTTGAGTTGTAATAATAATTGAACTATTTTATTGTCGATTTTTTTGTGTGTTTGATCTTTCTGGTTCTAAGTTGAGTGGAAAATGTTGTTTGTGCTGGGCGCGCGTGCTGTAATTTTAGCGCGCCTGCTGGAGCGCTACCTGTGGCGCGAAATATAGCGCTTCTACTAAAGCAGAACACCTTCCCAGAGCGCGAAGACGCTATCCCAGCACTGTAAAAGTTTTTTAGCGCACCGTGCAAACGCGCGTCTGTTGAAGATGCTCTAATTAGGATGCACACAACCAACATCACAACACACACTAAAATACATTGGTCAATAGCAAAGTCATATAGACCAAAGCTATGGCTAAACGAGAAAAAGGGGAAAAACAAAGGGATCAGGATCGACAATCTATAGCAATGACCATATCCGCACCAACTATCATCAGACCACAAGGACAATGATGTTCTTCAGCAACAACACCTTATGGAAGGGAGCGACACTCGAGCGCTTTCGTCACCGGATCCAATAATCAACGATCCGATTCTAGGTTTCCACCTGGAAGAACGAGTCCGAGCATATCCGAGCAATGCCTTCAACAAGGTAACGACGCAAATACATTGTCATTGCTAGGTATAACCAACTCGGGTATGACCTAGGTTTTCACCTCGGAGCTCGAAACCGGATACTCAAAAAGCACCATCATCGAAGTTAATCATGTGTTGTCGCCACCATTTTTCCACAATCTCAGCAATTACATGCGATGGGTTAGAAAACAGACTATCATGATGCGCAACCATATCCTCTGCGTCAAGTCGATATCCATGGATTGCATCTCACTGCTGAAGACAACCATCGGATCTAGAGAAACAAACCCTCACAAAGATCGGAGTAGTCACCACAATCCGTAGTGAGGTCGGCGCCGAAGGTCGGAGTGGTCACCACGGACCAACACAATCGGCAGAGCACACCACCATTGAATGCCACCTCATTGGAGAGAGCCCTGCCAAGATCCATCGATTTTGCCATGGGCGGATCTGAGACACGGAAGGCAATTTGTCCGGCGGCCAAGAGGCAGGGTGCTACAGCCCGCCTAGCCGCTGCACCGTCCCGTCAGCCAACAAGTGACGCCGCAACCGTCAGCAACGACATGCGCCAAGCACGCCGAACTGGCCGATCCACGCCACCACACACAAAAGTAGGCTGGAACGCGCCGGATCTGATGGGCACACGGTGCCGCCTACTAGATCTGGATGGATCCTCGCTGGACCTAGTTGGCCCGCGCTAGCAGTCCACGGAAGCAGAGGTCCTATCATCAGCGCAAAAGGCAGGACGAGGACGTGCCGCCATAGAGCAAGTCATGCTTGTGCAGAAGCACCAACAGATCTGACCCGAGGGGGAGAACACCACCACTAAGCTCGCTACCTTAGGCAGGGGGCCGCTGCCGCCGGCGCAATCACCGGCTGCGCCGCGTCTCCGCCCAATGACGTCGGGGAAGAAGAGACCCCGCCGACGCCCATGCTAATATGACTTTGCCCGTCAATGAGATCTGGCGGTGGCGATGAGCAGGAAGGGGGAAGAGGAGGAGCCTAGGGCTGGCAATGGCTGGGGGAGAGGAAAGTTCCGGGGCTATGCCCTCTACACACATGACACGTGACCAAATCCCATGTCGGCGGGCCTCCATGGGTGAGTGTGACCGCTTCGGGAAGGCACCTTTGTTTATAGCATTATGAAATAAATTTTGCACTAACATTACTCTAAAGCTGCAAAACTTGTTTTTGCGAAATGGTCTAAGGTCATATATTAAGTATCACATATCCTTACAAACACACATTTACAAGAATGTAGAAATACATATAAATTTTTGAAGATGCTGAAGTCTTCTTCTTGCTGCATCCGCCGCCGCCGCGCCGTGAGATGCCCATCTCTGGTCGTCGACCTCGGCCACCAACTTTATAGGCGACTAAGATTTTAAATTTTACTCCCTCCGTTCCGAATTACTTGTCTTAGATTTGTGTAGATACGGATGTATCTAGCACTAAAATAAGTCTAGATACATCCGTATCTAGACAAATCCAAGACAAGTACTCCCTTTGTAAACTAATATAAGAGTATTTAGATTACTAAAATAATAATCTAAACGCTCTTATATTAGTTTACGGAGGGAGTAATTCGGAACGGAGGGAGTACAAGGTACGAGAACTAAACTTAAAACTTGCGGGCGTCTCAACGGGGGGAAAAGCGGTGTTAACACCTGATGGAAATGAAGACCATTCACAGCATCAGCAAAGCAGCAAAGGCAGCGTTCACAGCAACCCAGATGGGCACCACCTCGCCGGGCCCCCTCCCTGCCGTCCCGCCGGACAGCGGCTCGTAGTACGACGGTGGTATTTGTGGGAGGCCGCGGCCGCGCGCCACGGTGACGTCGAACCGCATCCCCCTCCGGCAGTGCTCCCCCTCGCCGGCGTCCGAGAAGAAGTAATTTGCGCCCTCCGCAGCTAGCATCACCGTCAAGAAGGCCTCCTCTGCCTTCCACCCGCCACCGATGGTGCCACCGTCGTAGCCGCAGAGCTTGTATACCGTAGCGTTGGTCGTGTGCACGACCGTGTTATCCGTGCGGATCCTGAAGCCTGTAAATGCACGACGAGATGATCATGTGACCAACATGATCCCAGAAATGTGGGAAATTCGTGCTAGATCCGCACCGAATTCAGTTGTTCCAAACAGAGCGTAAGAAGATTTGGAGTTGCCCCTGCACGTGAAAGGCAAAGGAAATGCAGTGAAAGAAGACATACTGAGGTAGTCGCCGAGGTAGAAGGTGCGGTTGGCTGCCCAGGCCGAGTAGTTGGCCGCCGAGGCATTCGCCTTGCCGTCAAACAGCCACCCGGCACCGTCGCCGACGGTGTGGTTCGTGCCGAACGGTGTCAGTGCCGACGCCGTCGTGTTCCGGCTCGCCGTTGCATTGCCTGAAGCTGCCTTGACTGTTGGGAAGACGGCACCGAGGAGTAATCCTACTGCCATGGACGTTGCCACAAGATAGCTCATGGCATGCATCATGGGATGAAATCGCTGATGCCTAAGCTGCTACAGCCTATGTTCATACTCGACTGTTAAGTTGCTGATAAGTCTTGTACTAATCTGGTTGTAAACTGACATGGTTAGCATTGTGGCGCATGATTATTTTTTCGGATGTCAACGGTGTATGCTGCGGCACCCAGACGGGGTCGGCGCCGTCCTGGGATTACTAATGCAGGAGCCTAGGTACTCCTGCATGGCCGGTGATGAGATCCATAAACAACTACTCCCTCCAATCCAAAATAAATCTGCAGTTTTGAACTATTTTTAAACAAGGGTTAACTCAAAATTGCGAAACTTTTTATAGATCGAGGTAGTGTATTAAATAACTGATGCTTGCCTGGACCTTTTGCATATTAAGAGCATTTACAGCCGGGCGCCTCAAACTCCCCGTAAATGTCGATGCCCCAGTTATTGACTGCTCAAAAAATGCGGCCCAGACAGACGCCTTAAACCGGCCTCAAACATCTGGACTGACCGGCACCTCTCATATCCAACCCATATATGGGATGGATATGGAGTGACCCGCGTGCGACCGCCACGTGGAACTAACAGTCCGACCCCCACAAAAAGTGAATCAAATCCCCTTCGACCTACCCTTCCCACTTGCTCCTCCAGCCGGACGTTTGCTAGCTCCGCCGCCACCCTTGCATCGGACTGCACCTTGCCTTATGTGTTCGACACATTGTCTGACCAGATTTTAGTCGTCAGACGAGCTCTAGTGGCCGAACGAAGCTTCATGAAATGGAGCAAAAAGAGTCCATAACCTTCAGAAAGGATGCAATGATGACCAATGCTTATCGCCTTTGATGACGCGCCTATTTAAGCCAATCGCCTCACTCCTTACACGACGAGGTGGGACTAAACCCCAATCCCACCGGCCCAACACGGGTCATCTACACTGGAAATCTTAATTACGAACAACCTCGCCAGGCCAACACAGACTATTAGTTGGGGTCATCTACACTAGAACTGACATCCAAATCCAAAATAATCGACGTGCATGTGTTTGCATGCATTTAATGTTTTGAAAATAGGGTTTGTGATTGAAAATAAAAAAAATTAAGGCCCGCCGGTCACTGTCCGCGGGCGTGTCCCCGGACATTTGAGGGAAGTTAGCTATATCTTCCTATAGACGCTGTAATATGGAATATATCAGACGGGTTTTAATGGTAAATGCGTTCAATGTATTCTTTCTTAGACCTGCAAGGAAAAATTGCATGTGATGGAGCTTATGAGCCGCCCTTTTTTGGGATACGAGGCCGTCTTCAACGCTGATCCTAAAATCATATATTGTATCTATCCGCGGACACTCATACGGAAGCTGGCCGCTGCAGATATTAGCTTTTTTTAACAGAATCTGCATGCTCAAAATGACCAGATATCAAGTATCAATTTAGCTAAAAAAATCCAAATGCAGCAGTAGTTCTAATTTAAATGTTACAATCCAACAAAGTATTCAAATTATAGTAGTTCAAATTTGAATTCAATTACCACATATGTACTAGTTGCCCCCTTTAATCGCTCACAGTCACAGATACTCAATCAAATCTTCTTTCAGTTGCTCATGAGTTGCTCGATGTCGAATTTGTTCATGCATCGGAACGAACTCATCAAACATGGCCGGATTCTACTCTAGAAGTTCTCAAATTCAAGAGTTGCGGCAACATCCTCACTCTCATCCTCCATAATCATGTTGTGCGTGATCACATAAAATGTCATCATCTCCCACAAGGTCTTCAGATTCCATTGTTTAGCATGTCCATGAACAACTACAAACGAGACTAAAGAACTCCAAATGCCCTCTCAACATCCTTTCCAGCTGCTTCTTGTCTTTGAGAAAAGTGAGACCTTTTCTGACCAAGTGGCTCTGAGAAGGTCTTGACAAAGATAGCCCATGGGGGATACCACCAACCAGGTAGTAGCCCATGTTGTATTCATGCCCATTGACAATATAGTTGCAAGGAGGGGCATTCCCTTCGGTCAGCCTAGCAAACAATGGTGATCACTGCAGCACATTTATGTCAATGTGAAACCCAGACATATCAAAAAGGTGTACCAAATCAGCAAATCTTGTGATGCAGTTGCTTCAGTAATGATGGTGGGCTTCTTAACAAGCCCTTGATATTGCCCTCGTATAGCTTTTGGGCAGTTCTTCCATCTTCAATGCAAATAGTCAAGAGATTCGAGCAAACTGGCCACCCTCTTACTTCCAACATTGTCAAGATTCTCTCGGTGTGTGCAACAGTTGCTTCTATCAGGTACTGAGATCCAAACACTGAGACCATGACAGTAGCAAATCTGACCATGGTGTCTTGGCATGTGCTCTCAGACATTCGTAGGTATTCATCCCACAAATCAACGGTTGTGCCATATGCAAGCATCCGCAATGTGACCATGCACTTCTAGTAACCAAAGAATCCATTCCTTCCTCTGACATCCTTCTTTAAGATGAAATAGTCACAAAAGGACCGAATGCCATGGTAGAGATGATCAAAGGCATTTTTTTCACATCTGAAAGTGCCGCCAAAAATTGCCAGCAAATAGGGCATCAATGGCAACATATAAAGGAAATATGCCCTAGATGCAATAATAAAGTTGTTATTTTATATTTCCTTATATCATAATAAATGTTTATTATTCATGCTAGAATTGTATTAATTGGAAACTTGGTACATGTGTGAATACATAGACAAAACACCATGTCCCTAGTATGCCTCTACTAGACTAGCTCGTTAATCAAAGATGGTTAAGTTTCCTAGCCATGGACATGAGTTGTCATTTTATGAAAAGGATCACATCATTAGTGGAATGATGTGATGGACAAGACCCATCCGTTAGGTTAGCATGATGATTGTTCAGTTTTATTGCTACTGCTTTGTTCATGTCATGTGTGCTATCAAACGTCACAACGTAACTAGGTGATTATAAAGATGCTCTACAGGTATCTCCGAAGGTGTTTGTTGGGTTGGCATAGATCGAGATTAGGATTTGTCACTCTGAGTATCGGAGAGGTATCTCTGGGCCCTCTCACTAATGCACATCATATGAAGCCTTGCAAGCAATGTGACTAATGAGTTAGTTACGGGATGACGCATTACGAAACGAGTAAAGAGACTTGCCGGTAACGAGATTGAACTAGGTATGGAGATACCGACGATCGAATCTCGGGCAAGTAACATACCGATGAGAAAGGGAATAACGTATGTTGACATTACGGTTTGACCGATAAAGATCTTTGTAGAATATGTGGGAACCAATATGAGTATCCATGTTCCGCTATTGGTTATTGATCGAAGAGGTGTCTCGGTCATGTCTACATAGTTCTCGAACCCATAGAGTCTGCACACTTAACGTTCGATGATGATATGTATTATATGAGTTATGTGTTTTGGTGACCGAAGGTTGCTCTGAGTTTTGGATGAGATCACGGACATGACGAGGAGTCTTGAAATGTTCAAGAGGTAAAGATTGATATATTGGAAAGTAGTATTCGGACACCGGAAGGGTTCCAGAGTGTATCAGGTACATACCGGAGTACCGGAGGGGTTACCGAAACCCCCCGGTGGAAGATATGGGCCATAGGAGGGAGGCTAACCAGCCCACAAGGGGCTGGTGCGCCCCCCACAAGGGAGGAGGCCGAATTGGACTAGGGAAGGCGGTGGCGCCCCCCTTTCCTTCTCCCCCTCCCTCCTTCCCCTCAGGTAGAAGGAAAAGGAGGGCCGAATCCCAATAGGAGTCCAAGTGGGACTCCTCCCCACTTGGTGCACCCTAGGCTGGCCTCCTCCCCTCTTCCTCCTTTATATACAGTGGCGGGAGGCACCTCTAGGCACACCAATTGTTCTTAGCCGTGTGCGGTGCCCCCCTCCATCGTTTACTCCTCCGGTCATATTGTCGTAGTGCTTATGCGAAGCCCTGCGCGGATCACATCACCATCACCGTCACCACGCCGTCGTGCTGACAGAACTCATCTACTCCCTGGACCCTCTGCTGGATCAAGAGTTCAAGGAACGTCATCAAGCTGAACGTGTGCAGAACACGGAGGTGCTGTACGTTCGGTGCTTGATCGGTTGAATCAAGAAGACGTTCGACTACATCAACGGCGTTAAGCTCACGCTTCCGCTTTCAGTCTACGAGGGTACGTGGGGCACACTCTCCCCCTTTCGTTGCTATGCATCTCCTAGATAGATCTTGTGTGAGCATAGGAATTTTTTTGAAATTGCATGCTACGTTTCCCAACAGTGGCATCCGAGCCAGGTCTATGCGTCGATGATATGCACGATTAGAACACAAAGAGTTGTGGGCGGTGATCGTCATACTGCTTACCACCATGGTCTTATTTTGATTCAGCGGTATTGTTGGATGAAGCAGCCCAGAACAACCTTACATGACCACGTTCATGAGACTGGTTCCACCGACAGACATGCAACTAGTTTTGCATAAAGGTGGTTGGCGGGTGTCTGTTTCTCCAACTTTAGTTGAATCGAATTTGACTGCAGCCGGTCTTGTGAAGGTTCAAACAGCAAACTTGATAAATCACTGTTGTGGTTTTTGTGCCGTAGGTAAGTACGGTTCATGCTAGAATCCTGTAGCAGCCACATAAAACTTGTAACAATAAAGTAGAGGGCGTCTAACTTGTTTTTGCAGGGCATGTTGTGATGTGATATGGTCAAGACATGATGAGTTATACATTGTTGTATGAGATGATCATGTTTTGTAAAAGTTATCGGCAACTGGCAGGAGCCTTATGGTTGTCGCTTTATTGTATGAAATACACATGCCATGTAATTGCTTTACTTTATCACTAAGCGGTAGCGATAGTCGTAGAAGCAATAGTTGGCAAGACGACCACGACGCTACGATGGAGATCAAGGTGTCAAGCCGGTGACGATGGAGACCATGACGTTGCTTTGGTGATGGAGATCAAAAGCACAAGATGATGATGGCCATATCATGTCACATATTTTGATTGCATGTGATGT